GGCTTGTAGAAACAAAGAGCTTAAGGGGCTGCGTGTGTTCGGCTTTTCATGGGGCTCCACTTTCTTTTCTTATTGGGTCTCGGGGTCATCCGGATTTCAGGTTTGTGGAATTGGGCTCAGGGTTGCGGGTTCCGAGCTCGAGATTCAGGGTAGTAGGCCTAGCACTCATACCGCAGGTCCTCGACAGGCTGGATGCGCAAGACGACGTGCTGGTAGAGCTTCAAAGACAGCCGCCCAGCTGCTCCAATCCACCTTCGAAATGCTTTAACATTCGCTCTCGAATGTAGTTAGACGCAGCACGTCCAAATCACTGGTGGAAAGTTTTGGTCAGCATCTTGGAAGTGACATGTGCTTGGAACGCGCGTGCTGAAAGAAGGGTCTGCGATTTGGGTTTCGGGTTTGCGGCTCGAGCCTCGCTGAAGTCATGTGCATCCTTTGGAGTTGGGTTGGGCTTGAGGGGTTAGGGGTTTAAGATTTCGCTTCACGGCGACGGCAGTTCCGGGCGAGAGAAGCCTGCTGCAAAAAAAGATTTCGAATTAGGGTTTAGGATTTCGGGCTTAAGGGAGAGGAGGATAGCAGTAGTCTTTGACCTGACTTCTGATGCCAACCCTCGGCAACTTAAACGCTTCAAGATCCGGTACTGCATCACTCAGCAGCCTGATCTTAGTAGAATCGTTGGGAAAACGAGGGTTCTTCCTCCGCAGAAAAACATAGCTCTCGAAGCCACTCAAATCGTGAGAATATCAAACCCCTGAGCCCTTTACAGGCAAAAAGAGTCGAGACCAGAAAGCCTCAAACCCTACCAGAAGCCCGAAAGATAGACCCGTCGGGCCCTTCGAACACCTCCCTGCGACGAGGGGCGCGACCGCCAAAGCCCCCAGCAAGGCAAAACATCGATAGCTCTTCCCGATATACCTTTTAGGGTTTAGGTTGCCCCTCGGTCCCTAAACCCTAAACCCTATATAACATGCCTCGCCTGGATTGTCCGAGTCGGAGCGCCGCAACCCTTTCTAGGGGTCAGGGCTAAGGATTTCGGGTTTTTCGGGGCCTAGAGGTGGGTAGTTACCGTTATAGGAGCCTTATAGAAGGTCTCTATACTTTATGGAAGCTTTATAGAAGCCCTATATACCTTAAACTCCCCACCTGTAGTCTCCTTTAATAGAGCCTGCAAGCCAAGGAGCACGCGCAACGCCCAGGAGCCTGGGTCCAACGCATCAAACTCTCAACTGCCAAGCAACGATAACGATGACAGCAATCATATTAACAACAGTACTAAAAACATAAAAAACAAAATAAAATATAGTAGTAATAGTAGCAGTAGTCGTACTAGTAAATTACCAGTAGTATAGTCGTAGTATACCTAGTTTGCAACCTGTAAAAGCCCTGAACGCCTAATTCTTGAAAGAAGATCCTTGAACCGCCGCCGAAGCAAAGACGCCCAGCCGCCCCAACCGTTCTGATAGGGCATTAGTACTTAGAATAGGGTTTTGGGGTAGATTGTACCATAAAATAATAGGGACCCCCACAAAAAAACATTGTATTGGTAATAATTTGAGTAGGCCCCTATATTACCCCCAAGCCCACAGGTCCCCTGAAGGCGTGCAAATCCCTAAACCCTTAAACCCTAATCCCTAAACCCTTAAACCCTTAAACCCTTAAGCCCTAAACCCTTAAACCCTAAACCCTAAATCCTTAAACCCTTGAACCCTTAAGCCCTAAACCCTTATACCCTAAGCCCTAAACCCTTAAACCCTTGAACCCTTAAGCCCTAAACCCTAAACCCTTAAACCCTTAAACCCTTTAGCCCTAAACCCTTAAACCCTTAAACCCTTGAACTCTTAAGCCCTAAACCCTAAACCCTTAAACCCTTGAACCCTTAAACCCTAAACCCTTAAACCCTAAACCCTAAACCCTTAAACCCTTAAACCCTTAAACCCTAAACCCTTAAACCCTAAAGCCTAAATCCTTAAACCCTTAAACCCTAAACCCTTAAACCCTAAGCCCTAAATCCTTAAACCCTGGAGCATCCTAGACCTGGATCCTTCCGCCCTGGGCTCGAGAGCCCTACCCCTGAACCTCTCAATGTTGTGCAGCCTCCCCCCCCACCCCGAAAGACCCGTCGACTAGGTGCTCCTTGGGCATCATTTTCGTATATATATATATACACTTATATATATATATATACATACAGACATAGATAGCATAAACCACGGGGCCATTCGAAGTATTTGCATTCATGTTGGGCCTCAGGGGCTCGTAGTCTAAACCCCAAACCCCGAAGCCCAAACTATAAGGTTTTCGCTGAATGCAGGACCCACAGCCCCTTACTCGAAAAGAGCCTACAGCTCCCCTTAAATCTTCAAAGTTGGGCCTTCACCCCAAAAAACCCAACGCACCAAAATACCCGAAACTCCCAAGCAGCGAACCCAAAAACCTATACCCTCAACCCTAAGCCCCGACCTCTAAATCCTAAAGCCCTAAACCCCAAACCCTGAACCCTAAACTCTGAATCCTGAGACTTCCTTACCCCCAACAACCCTAAACCCCACCAAAAACCCCACCAAAAAACCCAAAAATCCCGACCGCTCCTTCCCCTGCAGGAACCTCCCAGGGCTTCGGTGCACGGCTGGTATCCGTCACCCCTGGTACCGGGCCGAAGAATTCGGCCTTCTCTTGTGGATTTTTTTTGGGAGCCTAGAGAACTTTCTCTGTGTGCCACCATCTATGTATGTATGCATGTCAGTCTGTCAGTCTGTCAGTCT